TTCTTTATTTTTCCATAAAAGTGAAAAATTTACGCATGGTATACATATAATGCATAGCTTCATATTAAAATTTAATAATATACAGAGTGGTTATAATTAAAGTTCCACATTGAAACGGTCATATAAGGAAAACTACTGGATCAATATGCAATATTGTTAAATGAAATATGGGTAGGAATCTAACTTAACCTTTTGTTACATGGGTTTAACATGTTGCATACCCTTAAGAAACTTTGAAGTAAGCAAATTACCATTCAAAAGCGTTGAATTCGATAAAAGTTGAGTGCGCCATCTGTGTAAGTGGGAAATTCGTCTGTGAAAACCACGAATTAGCGATTAGAAAATGTGAGATCACAAATCACTCGCACAAGTGCGTACAATCTGGAAATTGTTTTCTTACAGATCGCTAATTTGTAATTTTTGAAGCCTGAATTCGGCACTAAAACATGAAGATACTGATTCAAAACGCTTTTAATCGATTTGGGCAAAGAAATCCCTCATGTTATCTACCTAGTTCCATTGCATTCTCCTACTGCATTCGATTGCATAGCAGTCATTCCACACTGTTAGTGTTGAATGACAGCTAGTTTTCATAACTGAATCATTTTTCTCTGGAAGAGCAGGTCGACAGCTGGACCACTGTGATTGCAGCTCACTTAGAGTCAATGTTAAAATGTTTCGTGATACATGAACTGCATGAACTGCAGTAACATGGCATTTTAGATACTACGATTTTTTATGCAGGGCTGGGCCCCACCTCAAGTGTGTCGCACAGTTACTTAGGAAACATTTCACGAATGAACGTCTTATAGGCCGACAATTCCCCTCTTCCCACCAGACCTCAATCTCTGTGACTTCTGGCTATGGGGTCATCTCAAAAGCACTGTTTATGGTGATATTCTAAACAATTTGGCAGAAATGAAAAATGTCAGTAACATTCCTCCTGATATGCTAAGAACTGCTGTTAAGAATGCAGTAACAGGATTTAACTAGCTCTCGGGAAATGCTGGACGCTACATTGAACATGCTTTGTAAAACGTTTCGGAAACTATTAAACACATTTTAAACAGATGTTTTCACGTCTTATTTCATTTACCAATATTGTATACAGCGCCATTTTTCCACTGGTGGTGAGTTTTTGAACTCTTTTTTTTTTTTTCCTGCGGAAAATAAATTCCCGTAACCTCCTTTACACGATTCCCAAGTTTGATAACATTTGGTCTGGTAGTTTTCCTTTTATGACCATTTCAAATTGGAACTTTAATTATAACCACCATGTAAATTAAACTTTAAAAGTCTGACAGTTTGGTTCAAGTCCCAGCTTTAAAAATATATATATATATAATCTTTCATATTAATCCTCTTAGAAAGAATGTTTTAAGAAGCTAATTTTTCTCTCGCGTTATAGATTGTATATAAAGAACATGATCTTTAATATGATTTAGATTGTTTCAGCCTATATAAGAATCGGGTCACTTGGTGGTACAGAATAAACCCTGCTGGACTGTTTTATTTCTTTGTCATTTAGCAAAAATCTTTTAATTAAAATATTTATTCTTTGGACTTCGCTTTAAACTTTACTTATAGTTAAAATGACTAGAAAATGAAAAGCTGTCTTCAGCTGAAACACAATTCATGTAATTCATATTATAAATGATATTTTAAAATATTATAAATGATATTTTAAAAAATTGACAAGAATGCAAAATTTATGGAAGTCTAGCAATCGAAAAATCTTAATTTTTTTGTTTGAGCACTGAAAATAACTGTAGAAGGAAAGAAGAAAATTAGGGAGAAAAGTAAGCAAAAATTTGGAGGGAAATTTGGCTGTCAGACATACCAAAATGTTTCAAAAAGTTGGACGCTTTTGAATATACCTTCAGGATACTTCAAAGAATTTAGGTGTTCAAAGAGAAAACACTTGGACGTGTACACCACCACCACCACCAAATACCATCAATTGAGCTTGTGTTAACAGAAAAAGACAAAAACGATATCATTACAGATTAAAGTGAAGAGCGACTGGTTGTAGACTATATGGTTGTATAAATTTAAATTACATTATAGAACATCATATCGTATCATAAATGGAGAATCCCATGATTTTCTCAGTCGAATTATTTGAAGATTCAGGAGCTTATCCAGTGATGTATGTGGATGTCACCTAAAGACGTTTTTTTCTCCTTCTGATGAAACAGCGGCTGAGCGGTAAATCGCTGAACACTGGTAGTTCGGTCCGAGGTTCGAATCCCGCGAACGGGCTGTCTGCATGGGCGTTTTCGTGGTTTTCCCATATATAACGTGCATGCGAGCCAGTTTCCCTTAGAAAGTCCTCCACGAAGGCATCCCTTCCCTTAGACATAATTAAATAAACCAAAAACCTCTTGATGAAACCAGACTTTCCTTTCATCTCATACCTTCAAAATGTTTAGCCTCTAAAGACTGATAAAGGCTCTGATCAAATACTTTGTGATGAACTTTCTAAGAGAAACCAGCTAGCATACACGGTACACATGGGAAAATCCATGAAAACGCCCATGTAACGAGCCCGTTTACCGGGATTCGAACCCCGGAGTGAACTACCAGTGTTCACCGACTTTACCGCTCGGCCGTTTGTGGGCCTTTATGAAATGGAAGGCGATAACTTTATTTAAAATGATTGTCAGAAATACCAATATATTTCGAAAAGTTGGATGCTTTTTAATATACTTGCAGAATGCCTAAAGAAAAAGTGCAAGAATAAAGTAGAATGCCTGAAGAAAAAGAAAAGAAAAAATAAATTTTTGCGTATAATTTAATATTTCTACTTTTCTTTTTGAATTTAAAACTTTTTAATCTTATGATATTTGATTCTTGCGATTTCAAAAATAAAATATTTGACTAAAATGTGAATAACATTTTAAGAAACCAAATGTAAGATAAAACTGTGTAAAGCAATGGGCACAATGATTAAACTGTTTAAAGCAGTGTATGCAAGTCATCCTATGTTAAAATGTCCGTTATACATCTCTCTTATTTATACATTTCTTTTCTGAAAGGAATATTGAAAGGCGTGTTAACTGTGCTTTACTGTGATTTCTCTTTTAATATATGCAGTTTTCAAATGCATCATAGTCTGGGTTACAAAATATTCTTCGGAAAGAAACGCAATTCAAATAAATAAAATCAAATTCTGGAAAATTTATATTAATAAATATATTTTAAATGCTCAGTTCGAAGGAATAAATAGAAAATTTTAAAACAATTATCTGAAGAGACAATGCAACTGAAACAATTAAAAAAAAGTATAAAAATTAAAAAATTTCCTAAAATAATAACTATGACAAATAATTATATATAAAGAAAACTATTTGAAAAAAAAAATAAACGCTGCACCTTTATTGACGCAGTTTGAATAGGTAAATAGAAATTTTTAAAACAGTTATTCGAAGAAAAACATGCAACTTAAAGAATTAAAATGAAATTCGAAAAAGAAAAATTTACTTAAAATAATAACAGTTATAATAAAAATATATAAAGAATATTATTTGGAAAAAAAGAATGATGGTGACTTTTTTTCCTCTCACGGGAAAGGAAACAAGGTTGCCATATATTAAGACGTTCGCCAAGTGAACTATTCTTGGCGCAAACTGAACAAAAAGTGCCAACATAAATTTGTGAATTTCTCTGTAATTTCGCTCCAAATTTTGCAAAAATTCATATTTAGGCGTAATTTGAGTCGTAGAATCAAAATATGTAAAAAATTGGTATGTTATTTCAGAAGAAAAAGTCCGATTTTGTGTCAAAAATACCTATGTGTTAGAATAGTGCTATATATAAATCTAATATATATCCTAAGTCGCGCTTTCGAGACATGAAGAACGCAATTTGAATTTTGTCAATCGGCCCAGTAGAACGGGAGATATAGCACTGTCCCATTTTTTTTTTTTTTTTTGAGCAGTGAACATCCCTACTGAGGAGGAATGGCAGGCGAGTAAGATTAAATATTCAAGTTTATTTCAAATGACATTTGCAATAGAGATGGACGATCTGCTCTGGAACCGATTCAACCATTTTACTGAATGAATGATCAGCTCTCCGGTGAAAACGGAACAGCAGTTCATTAACAGTTCACCGACAGCTAGCTGTTATTGGGAAGTGTGCCAAAAAATTTGATTTATCTTAATTCTTTCCTTTATAATTTACCAGAAATTTACTGAAAATCTGCTTAGGGGGAGGAATGCTGTTACAACTTGAATGCGAAATGAGCAAAAGTTTTTTTTTCTGCAACTGGCAACAGTGTCGAAAAAAACTTGGACAAGGGCAGTCATTTACTCGGTTTCTCTTAACAGTATTTTGATTTGAATGGGGAATTATCCTCATCTTTTGATCTAAAATTAATCTTGAACCATGTGAATGGTGTAATATAGTAGGTGTACATAAATAAATAGTCACGGAGATTTTTTTTTAATTGTGATTCAAGTTTGAATTGGAGCATGCACTCTAAATCTATCCCCCCCCAAAAAATATCGTCAACATGTTGAATTCATGGATTAGAACAGATGCCTTTGTGAAAAACACTGAGGGCATCTGGCTCATGCACATGTTACACATGGGAAAAACCATGAAAATGCCCATGCAACCAGCCCATTTACCTGGAATTAAAGCCAGGTTGGAACTACCAGTGTTCAGGAATTTTACCGTTCAGCCACTGGTGGGCCTTCATAGTAATAAATGTATTCTGTATAATAGAATATCTGTATTAGTATCTGCATTTTCTCAAAAGGTACGATTCTTTGCACACAAAATTATAATATTTCAGATTCTCTTCACAGGAATGATTTTTTTTAACTCATATGAATAATTTTTTTCCTCAAAGCAGTAGCATTCCATTAAACAAACTCGCATTACTTTTATTTGGGGGCGGACTATAAATTAATACAGTTAGTTTACACCCAAATAAGCCACCCAGTTTCTGGATTCCTTCCTAAAGTTTTGCAATAATAATTTAATAAACTTACCCTAAACATCTATAGAATGTGTTTTTTATCCATGGAAATAATCTAAACTCAGCTACACCTAAAATTAAAAAATATAGATCTAACAAATATTTAAAGGTACAACACTTAAACATTATATAAAATGAGAAAAATAACAAAAAATCCCCCAGATTTTCGAAGAAAAATGCTTACCACGGCAGCTTCCTGGATTAACTTGCCCAATATAAAACCATAAAGCAATAAGAATCAGCAAAGAAGATAAAGCATAAATCCATTGGACCAAAAACATCATGACTATCTTTACAACAGCCTATAGTTAAAAAAATTATAAATTATTGACTGCATATCTAAAATGTCAGAAAGATTACAAAAATTTTAGATTTTTAATTGACTAACTAATCAATTTAAAGACAATGTAATTTCTTTGACATTAAAAAATAATAAACAAACATATTTAATACAGTAAAAGTTTACAATCCAGAATTATTAGGACTCTGGCAATTCTGGATTACAGGTCATCAGTTTAAATCGAGTAAGATGACATGTAGGCATAGCAACATTGGAGCTTCACTTATTGTTTAGACCATATGGAAATATGCTAACCCACTCACAACCACTAAAGGGCCCTAAGTCAACATCATTATGCCAATGGATGCATTGTCATTGGCCAGGTGCTACTCCTTACTTAGTCAGCAGGTGTTTGAAAGTGACATGCCAGTTAAATGGAGAAAAACATCACATTTACAGCACACCTGCTTTCTTTTGCTGAGTATTATATTCTCAATTCCTAAACCTTTGTCAGAGAGGGAGGGAGATTTTTTTATTATTTTAATTTTATTTACATATTTGTCTCTTTATTGGATTGGTAGTTTGGAGATCCAGATATTGCATGTTTGGATTTCAGACTTTATATTGTTACTGTATATATATATATATATACATTTTCAGTATGATTTAAAAAATAATTACCCCAAAGAGTGCCAACCATCTGTTACAAAAGACTGTATACCAATGTTTTTGTTTACTGCCTATTTCTCTTCTATAATACTTATCTGAAACAGACAAAAGATTATATTAAAATATCATTATTATACAAGAAAATATTGTATTTATAAAATTTTCATGTTAAAGGTTATTATGAAAATCTTTATGCTATTAGTAGAACACATACTTGATTAATAATACAGAGGCTGTTCACACATTTTTTAGACTATGTATATTGTATTCACAAAACTAAATTAAAATTACATAAAATTCTTGTGTTTTAAATGTTCTATTTGACATCCCTTATTCTGAACTATCTTTCGACACCGCAATTTCCAGGATAATAATGCCTTTTGAAGTCTATCCCATTCCTCCCGAACAGCTTTCCAGAGTCCTGTTAGGGTTTTGGGACAACGTTTGGATAATGCAGTTTTTAAAAGTCCGAAAGCACAAAAATCCATAGGTGACACATCGGGAGATTTAGTAGGGATATGAGTGAAGGGTATGGCCTTGATACCAGTTTTTTGTTCCATTTCTTTTAGAAAATTTGCAGCGGATTTTGATGTGTGAATGCTAGCTTTGTCCTGATGGAGTCTCACAGATTGATGGCACTGTGGGTAAAGCGATGGTATTTCACTCAGAAAAATTGGCGATAAAATATGTTCCTGATAATATTTGAAGTTAATCTTGACATTTTTTTGCACTCTTTTTATTTTTAACTTGCCATTATAAGAAAAACCAGCAACAATCATGAACCCCTTAGAAAAACTTTCTTTCGATTCTTTGAACCATGTACTTAAATTTTTTTCTCCCCTTTTATGATAATAAATGGCTTTTTTTTTTTGTTCCAATCATTTAAATACACCCATGCTTCATCTATTGTGACAATTGTTTTCCATTTTTCTTTGGATAAGTGTTTTTCATATAGAATTCTGCAGCGTGTCCTGCGTTGAGCGATATGCTTTGAAAGAAGAAGATGCACATCGCGTTTTTTCGCTTTCTTAAGATTTAAATCAACGTTTATCATTTTGTTTACAGTGGACACCGAGCATTTTAATGATTTTGCAACTGTCCTTTGACTAGGGGGATTTTCTTTTAACATTAAACAACGTACCTTTGCAACAGTCGAAGATGTCCGTTTATTCCTTGGATACTTGTTTGGAAATTTTGTCCCACTTGGGGCTCCAATTTGACTTTTTTTTCCTTTCTTGTTGATGATATTACATATTGACGCTTTAGATATCACAAAACCATGACTCTCACATCGTTTTTGGATAACGGAGTATGCATATTTCTCTTCGGAAAGAGCGTAAAAGTAGCCTTCGAACCACTGCTTTGCTAAATTCGCCATTTTGAATAAAAACAAAACTTTCAAGCCACAGACAATAATTTTGACTTTTGAAAACGTAGTACAATTGCAATTACTTCTTTTGCAACAAACAATTTTTTATTATTGCTTACCAAAATCATCTAAAAATGTGCGAACAGCCTCTGTAGCAGTTTTGTAGAGAGAATGACACAGTCAAATGTCCAAATGTGATAAGGAAATTACTATTTAAAGAGCATTGCATACTAATTTTAATTTATTGATATATTCTTGCCAAAAGAAACACGCATATTTTATGAATTCTTGTCTGACTATTTACTGTCAGCAATCTTTTGAATATTCTGAATTACACACATTGTTATTCTAAATAGTTCTTTCATACAGAAATATATTCAAGTGCCAAGACTGCTTTTTAAAGTACAAAATTACCAAACTTCTTACAGCTAAGTTTAAATGAATTCAAACACAATTCAAAGAAATCTAATGGTTCCTTTATATTTGAAGATACTTGTGGTCCTGTGGCTCTTTTGTCAGATACAAAAGGTATTCTTTGTGAAATTTCTTTGAATTCTGGACATGTTATCCATTTTGAACTTTCTGTCTCTATGGAATCACTGTTGCTTTCACATTCACTATCCATTACCATGATTTTTCACTTTCTTACACATCTTACTTGATTTTTATCTTCATCACTGCTTTCCTACTCTCTTGTCATCAAATAGTCTATGCATAGACACAATTTCATTCTTCATCAACAAAAAATGGAACTTATCTTCACTTGAACTGATTTCCATGCTTACTGGGTTCCGTAATTTTGAAAAATACTTCTTTGTCATGACATCTGAGTTTGAATAACGTCAAAGATGCACATATAATAATAAATCTAAAAAACTTATTCAAGATTAAAGTACGGAAGTTGGTTTATATGCATGAACTGTATGAAGTGATAATGCCTAAACCAAGTGGTGATCGAGAGTCACCTTTCATAGTTACCGCATTAAATCAACTGTTGACTGAGAGGCACTTCCCAAGTGCAAAGGGTTAAATGCTTCTCACCATTTTGCAATAACAATATTGAAACTATAACTTATCATCAAACAAAATTCAATTTTCATATGATATGTAGAGCTTTGGGTCTAATATTTAAAAATTTAAAATCATTCCTATCGTTATTAATGATTTTGTCTTGAAACCATTCTAATCAAACATTAGCATAATAAATATTTGAAATGGACATATTACAAAAGTGACCTTTAAAAAAATTAAGAATTAACATGTCTTACCTTGATCATGAATATTGTTAAGTTCATTAGCACTACACTGAGAATTCCTACTTTCAACACTACGTATAGAACTATGCTCATCTGGTGAAGTCACTGGTGAATCTGTTGCAGTGACACTTACACTGCTTCCCTCTCGTACCATGCCACGCTTATGATGAGGAACACGCTCTGGAAATAATTCATCTAAGTCTGCATCAGCCTGAAATATTTCAATTTGTTAGTTCACTTATCATACCTAATACTATTTGTACAAATTTCTCCAAAAATCTACATAAAATGTTTTATAATTTTAGAACAAATCAAATTCCCACAGAATTTTAAATCATTTAAGTCAATAAAGCACAAAATAATGATAAAACATTTTTTAAAGAAAAGTTATAATTTTATTGTTGTGTAATATTAAAAAAAAAATAGTATACCAAATATAAAGCAATATATGGCAACTCTATCAGGGATTTTAAGGAAAGCTGCTTTTAAATACTTTGTAGTTGAATTTTATGTGGTGTAAGTGTAAAGAAAGTGATGTTTAATAAAGTTAAAAAGGCAAAAAGTTTATTATGTTAAAAAAAAAAAAAAAACTTTTGCCTTTTTAACTTTCATCTAATAATAAAAAGATAAGAATAGTTGTGTGGGTCATATTGTTAAGAAAACTAAACACTGATTATGATGAACTGAGAAAAGACTGAACGAAAATTAAAAAATGTACGGCAACACTTTAAATTCTATTGGAAATTCTAAAAATATGCTGCTTTTAAAAATTTCATGATTTAATGCTGACTTTTATGTGCAAGTGTGAAGAAAGCGATGGTTAATAATAAAATTAAAAGATAAAAAGAGTTGCATGGGCAGAAAGGAGTCAAAGAATAGATTGATAAGCTGTGAAAGCTCAATGAGAGCATAAAAAACCTTATTTACTTAATCCTAACAAACATTATTCAAACTTCTTAATATCAGTACTTGAATTAAAATTTTCTAGTAATTTTTAGAAATCATTATGCACTGCAGGTAAGTTGAAATGAACAGTATTATCACCTATTTCTCTCTAATCTTTATGTTATTCACCTCACTGATAATATGATCTTCAGTTCTATCCATAAGCATTACTCACGCAACTTTTTAAATAGCAATTGTTCATTTCTGGCTTATTTTTCGAATGGATAAGGATTTGGCCTTCACCTTCAGCTTGTCTGATACATCTAGCTAAGTTAAGCAACAAATTATTCAGACTTTTGGATATATATTTCAGCTTTAACTTCTTCAGCTGCAATTGCTGCTAAAGAATGGGATAGTGTTCAGTCACAGAAAGCAATTTTCCTTAATCAAAATCTGTGTCAATTAATATTATTTTTCTTGTATTCGGAAATCTAGCTAGATTTATAGGACAATTTTAAATTTAAGTCATACATGTATTTTCAATTTTCGCTGAAGTTTTGCAGCAAGATCTTACCTCTTGGCATTTACTCAGAAATGCACAGCAATTCTTCCTTTGTTTTTTGATATTAAGAGCTATCTAGAAATACTACCTGAAAATATCTTGAACTATTCTTTCAAATACCTAACACGAAGAAAGCACAAATAAAAATACAAGGAGCATAAATTTAAGAATTTAATCTGAAATGGAAGTAAATTAGTACAAAAATGAAACAATAAAATAATGAAAAGTTAATAATTCCTGGTTTTTATTAAACCGCAGCTTACAGAATTAGCAATGAAATTCCTCTTTGAGTTTCATCCCCCACCAACCCACTCGTCCATCTGAGCCGAAGATGTTAAACTTGCTTTCATCAGTGAAGAACACATTTTTTCTAGTAGTCAGGTGTCTTTTGTTTCATCAATTTTGCAAAAGTGATTTGAAGTTTTCATTTTTTTTTTAACAGACAAAAATTTTTTTCTTGCTACTTGCCCATGATATCCTGCACATTGCATTACTTTTCTTACAGTTTACGGATTCACACATATTCCATATAATTCATGAAGTTCTGCAAAAAGTTTAAAAGCACTTGCCTTGGATTCTTTTTAATATTCCTTAGAATAAAGCATTTCATTCCATGAGATAACTTAGATGGGTCTTCCAGGTCTTTTGTTTTGGATAAGATTCTGTTCTTATAATGCTTAATAATATCAAAAACTGCAGAATCACTTAAATTAAGTAAACAGGCAATTTTTCTAATAGGTTTCCTTTTCTTTTGATGCTAATCAATAACTAATCTGTGGGTTTCTAACGATGTTTCCTTTTGTGACTAAGCCATTGCAAGAAAACATTAAAATAATGAATATTTTCTAAAAAGAAAAATTTGAATTATAAAAGCAAATGATTTTTAGATTTTTGCCTAACTTCTTTATTCAAATTAATTTCATAAAATTTCATTAGAGATTAGAATGGTTAGAGAAAAAAATTCCAATGATACTGCTATTTACTGTGTTATATACCATCCGCAGCTAAGACACGTCCAAATGAACTTCCCGATGTCTTAAAACTATGCATCAAAACTGTCAATCATATTAAAAAGAGTGCATTAAATACTCAACTTTTTTTGCAAAGATTTGGAAACAAAACATACTGCCATTTCATATGGAAATATACTGGCTCTCAAATGGCAATATGTTAGCAGGATTATTTGAACTTCGAGATGGAATGATTCAGTTTTTGGAAATTCAAAATTAAACTGAATTCCAAAAACCAAGTGTTCATATTGTATTGGCTTATCTATCAGATATTTTGATTTGTTGAACTCATTAAAATTGAAATTATAACATGGAGACTGAAATATACAGAAGAAAGTGCACATCATAAATTACTAGTAATATTGTGTTTGCTTCTTTACTTCATTTTTATTCCTACAACTGCTGAAAACTACCTTTCACACAAATAAGTGCTTGAAAATGGTAAGTACAGTTGCAGTGTTTGTTCTGCTATGCTCAGTAAACTTTGAGATATTTTACCCAAAATTAATGGCTTATTTATCAAAGTCATATTTGGCTGCAACCAGGAACTGAAAATCTTATAAAAAATATACAAGCCCATCCATTTCATTGATTCATTTTCCCCTTACTATATATGTATGGAAACACCATATTTCTATAATAAAACCTTTATAAATTATGTTTTTATTGTTTTTACTATCCTTATCAATAGGTATTATTACTATTATTGGGAAAGCACGGGGGCACTGGCAAAAAGGAAATTTTTGGCAGCAGGGAGGTGTGGTAAAAATTTTGCCAAGAAAATTTTATAAAAAAGTTCTAATTTTTAATGTTTAAATTAAAAAGAGAAATTAATTTCCATTGATTAATTAGTTTTTCTTTTAAAATTTATCCAGGTATCGTTCAGGAATATAGCTCTGTTGATAACTCTTTCATCTGCTATTTGACAAAAAAATTGTCAAACTTTGTTATTTTATTCTTTTGTTTTTGGATTAATTTACTCCTTGTTAAGGATCAGTCCCAAGTTTATACTTCATGTTATATTTTTATTTGTGCATTTGCCATGTTAAGTAACTTTCCTCTTTTAGTAAATTCATATTTCATTTTATTTCTTCTAAATTAATTAATTAATTTTACAGCTTTTTGCACAATATTAATTGTATTTCATTAAATATTCTTTAATTTTTGATGCTACAGTATCACATATTAAAAAAACTGCTCTAGGAAAAAAATAAAATAAATAAATAAATAAAAATAAAAATAAAAAACAATATATATATATATATATATATATATATCATATTAAAATTCCTTAATTTATACTAAAAATGATGATATGTTTACCTTGCTCTCAACTGTTGACCCATAAGCTGTTATCCTTCCGACACTATGATCCACAACAAATGAAGGACTCTGCAAACCTTGTTCTGCATACCTTTCTTCACGTCTTTTTTGCAAGTCAAATGTCATTGCAAGTGAAAAGTAAGCATACTCAACAGTGGCATATGTTAATAAAAATGGTATTGTGACTATAGGAGCCAATGTGTTAATACTCCCAACAAGCACAAACATGAAAGTGACAGTAGCAAAAAGTATTAGTGAATATATTGGTACTTTGTTAGGACCTTTCTGTAAGACACATAAAAAAAAAAAAAAAAAAAAAAAAAAAAAAAAAAAAAATTAAAACATTAAATTGTTCTTAAAATAAGACATACAGAAACTCTGCTGTGATAAAAATAAGACATACAGAAACTCTGCTGTGATAAAAACAAAAAAGTTTATCAGGAAAGAATACATTCACAAGAGACATATATTTTATTTAGAAAAGTGAACTTTTTGTGAAGAAGTTAGAAATAGTTAACTATGCACGCATGCATTTTCTTTTGCCGATTAAATATGCAAAAGCAAATGTTTTTATATTTCTCAAATATTTACCAAGGTACTTTCAACAAAAATAATTGCTACTTGTTAAAAGCATCATTAATAGCTTCTGTTATATATTTTCCTGTTTATATATTATTAACTCCCTACACACAATTATATGTATCAGAAAACGTAGAGGGATTTAATATTATATGTCATAACTACTTGGATAAGTTTTGTTGGTGGAATTAGCTGTTAGTAATGATCTGGAAATTCACATGGTTCTATTTTATGTTGGTAATAAACAGAAGATTGAAAAAAAATATTTATGATTATAAATTTAACATATGAAAAACATTAGCAAATGATTCCAAGTTTTGGGCAGCACGTCTTCCCTGAATACATAAAGAAAGATGTGCATCTATGTATTTTAAAAGATCCTTTAATTTATAAATGTTCAAACTGACTTTAATGGTGCATAGCTAAATTATATCCAGAACTTGTCATGCAAACATTTAGTTATATAGAATCTAATTGTATAACTATGTAAGAATAATGTAAAACATTATTAAATAACAAGTCAGTTATATTACTATAAAAATGACAGAGATCACTGCAAATACTTAAGAATGTACCAATTTCATTTAGAATTTCCCAAATTTTGCAAAGAAAAATATCTTACCCCTTTTCCTAAAAATCGCATTATTGGAATAACATTTTCATTTGCCATACTTTGGATGATTCTCGGAGTTGCATATAATGCCCCTAAACATGCTGACATAGCTGATATATAAAGGCCAGCAAGTAAAAGAACACCTATAGCAGATACCTATGTAAATAAAATTAGAATATATAATAATGTTCAGTTCAGTAAATGATAATGGTTGTATTAATATAAGCTTTATTAAATAGAATGTTATAGAGTTTAGGTAACTAATATATAGCTGAAATAATGATGCTAGAAATTAAAAATTTTTCATGTTTCCAGAGACATTTTTGCTTTATTCTTGACCGAGTAGGAAAATATCATAACTCAGCCAAAACTTTGCTTTTATCAGCCTGGTGATGATATTTACAAATTTATCTTATTCCAGTAAGAAATCAGGTAAGTTTTAATTGATATGCTAAAGTAAGGTAATGAAAGACTAATGTAAAAAAAATAATATAAATTTTATGAATGTTTTACTACTAGCATTACTTTCCTATCAATGAAAGAAGAAGTTCCCAATAAAATTTCTGTAATTCAAATTAATTTCAAATGTTAATTCCCAAATGAAGAATATGCATCTCGAGAGATATTTTACATTAGTTTCCGCTTCTCAACAGATTTTTAGAAACTCCACATGTTCTTGGTGAACTTGTCTGCACCATAGTTAATTTGGTGTTATTATGCACCAAATTAACGATGGTGCAGAAGTGTCTGAAGCCTCTTTTTTTTATTTGGGTGAATCTTTTGGAAAATTCCTTTATTTCATGATCTTCTTTATTTGAAGTCCAACAAAGATACCTGCTTATATTTTTAATGTCAACAATTTAAAGAAATCCTGAAAGCAGTTCACCTTTTACAGGAAGCTTTGAAGAACTGCTTAATTAAACCCAATTTGAAGTGCAGAGGTGGGATCAACAGTTTCTTGGGATCTAGTAGCTAGGAAATCTTATGAATAGTTTAACAACCAATTAAAAATGTATCTCTTTTGATGTTTTCCAAGCCCCCCTTAATCTACATTTATCATCTTCCAAAATGAGAGCCTAGTTCTTAAAGTGCACAGAATAGGATAAAATCTGAGATAAATCCTTGCTTCCATAGCATGGAAAAGCTACCATTGAGAAAGAGGTAATTTATTCATATAAAACCGATTTTTTTTCATCTAACATAACAAATCATAAGACAGCAGAAGCAAATCTTATTTTGGCATGAAGATATGCTGCAAAAATTTGAGGACTCCCTCTGAACAAAGATGTGCTCACTTTCACTACCAAGATTCCACTGCTTAAGCCCAGATGTTAAAATCTAAGTTCTGGCTTTAATGAATCCACAGATCTGACACAAAGCGATTGAAATCTATTTGACTGATGAACAAGTATTGCTTATAAATTGAAATTTTAGAAACATATTCAGGATCAAGAACCTCTTTTTCATTGGTTGCCTTGTTATACTCTTTTCACATTCCTCTTTCTCTAGCAGAGAGATTATGTACAATTTTGAGAAATGTAGCACTAAGGCAATGAACAAAGGAATGCTAAAGGCTACTTTAAATGAACTAAATTAGTCAGATGATCAACTAATTAACACAATAAATCACTCCATAGCAATAATTATTATTCCTTCCTTTCACCTGAAAATCATAAGATCCCTGCATTGCTAAAACAGAGAAAAACTGCACAAAAAGAATTTACAGAAATCAACTTATTAACAGAAAAGCAAACAGTATACAGGAAATGAATATGTTTTATTCTTTCCTACTTGAAAACAATAATTTGATGTCTAAAAATAAAAACCATGCAGCATATTGCAATTAAAACTTTTTGGAATTAATTCATAAAATAAGATGAATAAATTATAATTAATATATCACAACTCGGAATTTTGAAAATGGGATTCCTGTTTTTATTTCCTGCTTGATATTGTCAACACTGGCATCAAAAGAAATATTCTAAAATAGTACAGCTTAATAGAAGCTGTATGTTTAATAAATAAAATTAATCCATGCAATGCAATAAGTATCTTATGCATAAAGAAAATAATTAAACTTTTAAGAAAATAATTAAACTTAAACTTTTTAAATTTTGGAAATTTATTTAATACAAAATTACATTACTTATTGCACAAATCATATTTAACAAATATGCTCTTATATGCTTCTAAAAGTTTTTTTTTAAAATGTACTAAACATAAGCAAAATAACTGAAAACATTTTGAAATAAGTAAATGATCTTAAGCAAAAACTATTTCAAAAGTCTCAGATCAGAATGCACATTAATAACTTTTATAATATATTTGTAAATTGGAGACTCTGGAAAGAAATAAAAACTCAAACAACTTGACTTTTATTTTAAGAAAAGAGAGAGAGAGGGAGAAGAAAGAAAACTTTCGGAATTAAACATAAATAAAATACGATGAACATTATTTTTACATTTAAAGAGTTGCTTATTTAATTTTGCATGTTGTATATATAATATTATTTCTCTTAAAAATTAAATAATACATATGCAAGTTAATCAACAAAATATCTATCTTAATAAACCACAGAAAAAAGTTTACCTTAGCAGCTATCATATAATCTGTTTGTAGAGCCCAACGTTGACAAGTAGCTCCCAAACCAACAACAAAAAGCATATAAATAAAAAAGCTGAAAAGAAATGTGATAAGTATATTTATACATTCTATATAAGAACATTTCTCAAGGGGAGGGGGGCAAACTCACAAAGGAAAAATATATGCTATACATCAAAAATCAAATTCTAAGATAAAAGATTAAAAAAAACTAATAATTATATCACGAGTCAATTTTAAGGAAAAGTTAATCCAAAAACTTAAAAAGAAAAGCTAAAATTAAAATGAAACAAATTTCTAATATTAATGGCAACTGTTTTTTTTTTCCCCCGAACGAAACACAAAGGTTTCAAAGGCAGATGATCTCTAACAATATTTGAATAAAATATTACTGTTTTCAATCAAATATTGCTAAAGATATTGTGATTTCATCATCACAAGTTATCTTTTTGCTTCTGGGTAATGCATCATGCAAACTTGAAATTCTCCAATATCATAATCATAGCAACAGGATCCTTTTACTGTATTCTACAATTTGGCATAGATTAAGAAGTCTAAATATCACTTCAACAAAAATTTTGCCTGTTTAACATTGAAGACAGCAGATGAGTTGGAAGTTAAAAATATATATATATGCATATTTTTTGACAAAGACTTTTCAAATATTACTGAAATGATATCATTACAGTTAATGTCATACAAACTTGGACGAAAAGCTTTATTCCTAAATTATTTTGAATTCTCAGTATATTAAGGATTCTAGATTAAATGCAAATAAAGCTAACAGCATAAGTTTTAAGAGTGTGGAAATCTTTTTTTTTTTTTTTGAAAATGTAATGGAACACAACTGCAGTTTGGCTAAGATTTTAATAATAATTCTAAAAATACAACAACAGTAAGGCTGATAAGCTCATACTACTGCGATAATATGCTTAAAGGTAACAAGCCTCTGCCATGGAATTCACAGATTCTAGTTATCCAAAGTAAGCAAATCTTTAATTTTTAAACTCATCAGAAACATCTAAATATGCTTGTGCTTATATCGATGAATAACACACCTATTAATGCTGTTAAGAATGCATCTATGTTTTTTAATAAATGCCTGTGTACTTGTAACTAATTATTTTATTAGATAAATGATATTATTATTTCTTTTACTTAGGTGATTATACGCTCAGCTAACATACTGACATTAATTAAGACACAATAACACGCCGAATAAATACTAATTCAGAAGTCAAACAACAAAAATCAGCGTTAATTTACAAAATTTTCACAGGACTAGTTTCGATGGTTTTACCGAACCATCATCTTCAGCTGCAAAACCGCAAATGAACAAGATAGGAAATAATGTTTAGATAAGATAAGAAAGCCTGGACAAGAATAAGCAAGTGGCGCCATCTGTTGGCGAAACCAGAACTAAAACATAATTTCTCTAAAAGCTGAAGGCAAATTTGGATTGGAATTAGGATCGTTAACTAGAACAGAAAGATTTTTATGAATGTGAAATGCCTCTAGAAAATCCAGTTCTCCAATGGAAGATGTTTTTTGAATAATTTTGGCAGCAGAAAAATTGAAAGTGTGATTTTCGGACCAACAATGTTGAGCAACAGAAGACTTCTGTGTTTCCTTTTTTCTAACATATGCCTCATGTTTCTTTGACGCGAAATTTTAAGGCTCTCTTAGTTTGGCCAATGTAAATTAAACCGCACTGGCAAGGAATCCTATAAATACCCCAGGAATTCATATCCGGAATGGGGTCCTTGAGTATAGAAGTTGGAATTTTATTGATGGGAGAATAAACAACCTGAAAATTAAACTTCTGCAAAATATGTGCAACTTTTATAGCTAATTGATGGAAAGAAGGGAATGACAACAGAATTTTTATAATCTCCTAAAATAAGAGTGTGGCTTTTAGTGTGTTGAGATGAGAATTTTTTAACTGCTTGATTAATAATGTTGGGTGAAAAGCCCCTGTCAATAGCTATTGCTTTTAAATAATTTAGTTCTTCATCAAGGGCTAGTTGGAGGAGGAGCAAAGTTGAAGAGCACGAAAAACATAGGAATAAAATGAAGCTAACTTTTGTTTAGTCGGATGACATGATTTAAAGTGTGGTGGAAGGCAAACCGATGAAGGTTTACGGTAAACTGTAGTACTGAAGTTGGATGTGTTATGTGTGACCAGAATGTCGAGAAACGGAAGAGAATTGCAAGTCTCAAGTTCAAAAGTGAACTGAATAGCAGGATCAATAGAATTCATTCATTGTTGAAAGAACTCTATTTAAATCATCTTTATTACCTTCAAACAGGGTAAAAGTATCGTCTACGTAGCGGAACCATGCCGGGAAGTTTAAAGTTTCAAAATAATTTTGATTCATAATAATGCATGTAGATATCAGCCAGGATGGGACTGAGGGGGCTTCCCATGGCTAATCCTTCAGTTTGCTTGTAATATTTATTTTGGAAAACAAAATGTGTTTGTTTCAAACAGAGTTGAGTGAGAGAAATTAGCTCATCAATTTCGATGCAAGAGAGATGAAATTCGTGAAATCTGGTTTCTAGACATCTTAATGCACCCTCCACTGGGACATTGGTGAATAATGATTTTACATCAAAAGAAACCATGAGTAAATTACGAGGAGAAATGTTTTTAACCTTTTTTACAAACTCTATTGAATTTTTTATGGTGTAAATGTTATTGTCTAATAGAGTGGAAAATCTAGAAACTAAATATTTAGCTAATGGATATGAGGCAGTACCTAAATTTGATACAATAGGGCGGAAAGGAATACCACTTTTATGAATTTTGGGAAGAGCATATAATCTGGCACAATTCGCAAACAGATGGGATAAGCGAATGTTTTAAGTTGCTTGAAATGATTTGCGAAAATTTGATCGCAGTTTTATTTTGGGATAAGTCCGAAGGTGAAGGATCTTTAGGGATCGGATTATATGGTCCTTCGTTTAAGAGTTTAGTGACAACCATCGATGTAAGTGTTCTTATCCATGACGACTATCTGGCCACCTTTGTCGGCCTTTGAAATGACAATATCCGGGTTAGAATGAATCTCGCGCATTGTAGCTCTTTTTTTCTTTCAAACATTTTGTTTTCTATTCATTTCAGTGAGGGATTTTTCTGCTATTTTGTGTGTACTTTATTATTGCTCAGTTAATTTAGTTTGATTTTCTGCATTGTTTATCATGCCTTCATCCGTTAATCGTTTCACTAAATTACGCCTGAAACGGCAAAAATTCCTGAATCATCTTGACTTTTTACTTAAATGCAAATGTAAAAAATTGATCCCCAATTTTATTCAAATCAAATCTAATCAAAAAACCTTCGAGTCGCGTTTCCAGAATTCTGTTAAATTGCAAACTTGCCTTACTTCGGTCCGTGATAAGGGATACACGTCAACAATTGTCCCAAATTGAACATGAACTCTATAAGCTTCATCTGGAACTCGCTAAAAACATATCCAAAATTCACTGCCCTTGAACAAAAGTCTTGGTCTAGAACGGAGAATGCAGTTAACCGTCATAAAAACACCCTTGCAGTTAAATTCGAAAAACTTCTTTTACAGTCTTCCAGTCCAAGTAGTTCAAAAATTCTTCCCATTGTAAACATCAAGCCAATAGTTAATATTTCTAATGTTAGTCTTTCAGAAGAACAAGAGAGAATTCTAAAATATAATTTTAACTTCTCACAAACCTGTAAACCCTCGATTCCAATGATTTTGGCTCCTATCGAAAAAGCTTTCAAGTTCAGTAAAGTTTCAGATTCACAGAAAGAAATGATTAGGCATCTTATCGCTCATAATGTGAAATTCAATAATAATAAACCTTTGAAACCAAATCTAACTGCGAGAGAAAGAGCTACAATGCGCGAAGATTCATTCTAACTTAGACATTATTGTCATTTCAAAGGCCGACAAAGGTGGCCAGATAGTCGTCATGGATAAGAACACTTACATCGATGGTGTCACTAAACTCTTAAACGAAGGACCATATAATCCGATCCCTAAAGATCCTTCACCTTCGGACTTATCCAAAATAAAAACTGCGATCAAATCTTCGCAAATCATTTCAAGCCCAACTTAAAACATTCGCTTATCCCATCTGTTGCGAATGGTGCCAGATTATATGCATTCTTCCCAAAATTCATAAAAAGTGGTATTCCTTTCCGCCCTATTGTATCAAATTTAGGTACTGCCTCGTATCCATTAGCTAAATATTTAGTTTCTAGATTTTCCACTCTATTAGACAATAACATTTACACCATAAAAAATTCAATAGAGTTTGTAAAAAAGGTTTAAAAACATTTCTCCTCGTAATTTACTCATGGTTTCTTTTGATGTAAAATCATTATTCACCAATGTCCCAGTGGAGGGTGCATTAAGATGTCTAGAAACCAGATTTCACGAATTTCATCTCTCTTGCATCGAAATTGATGAGCTAATTTCTCTCACTCAACTCTGTTTGAAACAAACACATTTTGTTTTCCAAAATAAATATTACAAGCAAACTGAAGGATTAGCCATGGGAAGCCCCCTCAGTCCCATCCTGGCTGATATCTACATGCATTATTATGAATCAAAATTATTTGAAACTTTAAACTTCCCGGCATGGTTCCGCTACGTAGACGATACTTTTACCCTGTTTGAAGGTAATAAAGATGATTTAAATAGAGTTCTTTCAACAATGAATTCTATTGATCCTGCTATTCAGTTCACTTTTGAACTTGAGACTTGCAATTCTCTTCCGTTTCTCGACATTCTGGTCACACATAACACATCCAACTTCAGTACTACAGTTTTACCGTAAACCTTCATCGGTTTGCCTTCCACCCCACTTTAAATCATGTCATCGGACTAAACAAAAGTTAGCTTCATTTTATTCCTATGTTTTCCGTGCTTTCAAGTTTGCTCCTCCAAACTAGCCCTTGATGAAGAACTAAATTATTTAAAAGCAATAGCTATTGACAGGGGCTTTTCACCCAACATTATTAATCAAGCAGTTAAAAAATTCTCATCTCAACACACTAAAAGCCACACTCTTATTTTAGGAGATTATAAAAATTCTGTTGTCATTCCCTTTTTCCATCAATTAGCTATAAAGTTGCACATATTTTGCAGAAATTTAACTTTCGGGTTGTTTACTCTCCCATCAATAAAAAATTCCAACTTCTATACTCAAGGACCCCATTCCGGATATGAATTCCTGGGGTATTTTATAGGATTCCTTGCCAGTGCGGTTTAACTTACATTGGCCAAACTAAGAGAGCCTTAAAATTTCGCGTCAAAGAACATGAGGCATATGTTAGAAAAAAGGAAACACAGAAGTCTTCTGTTGCTCAACATTGTTGGTCCGAAAATCACACTTTCAATTTTTCTGCTGCCAAATTATTCAAAAAACATCTTCCATTGGAGAACTGGATTTTCTAGAGGCATTTCACATTCATAAAAATCTTTCTGTTCTAGTTAACGATCCTAATTCCAATCCAAATTTGCCTTCGGCTTTTAGAGAAATTATGTTTTAGTTCTGGTTTCGCCAACAGATGGCGCCACTTGCTTATTCTTGTCCAGGCTTTCTTATCTTATCTAAACATTATTTCCTATCTTGTTCATTTGCGGTTTTGCAGCTGAAGATGATGGTTCGGTAAAACCATCGAAACTAGTCCTGTGAAAATTTTGTAAATTAACGCTGATTTTTGTTGTTTGACTTCTGAATTAATACTGACATTAGTTAAAAAGAGCAAATTATGATACAGCTTTGTACTTATGATACAGCTTATAATCATTTATATCAGCTAAACTGCATGGAAAAAATCAAATGATAAGCAAATATATTAATTTAGCTTTGTGTAGTTCAATAAACCTTGCAAAACACACATCTGCCTTTTACGGGGAAGATATAAAAAATAAAGTGTGATAATGTTTACTTATGGAATAAAAATTTACCTAGTGCCAACAGATGCGAGAGTGCCCACAGGAATATCTCTGGATGGATTATGTAGATCTCCACTCATATTTATGCCAGCTAATATACCAGTCATAGCTGGGAAAAATACACCAAAGACTGTAAACCAATTTTCATTATTTGTATAAGCAGAACCTGTATTATTTTGCAGATTTGTCAAGTCATATCCAATAACACCATGGGCTAAAGGGAAAAAATATTCTTCTTCTTAGAAACTTATTTAGAAAGAAATAATAGATCTATACATTAGAAATATTTTATTCAAAAGCAGACCCATTTTCTTAATCAAATATATTGCATTTATAATTCCATATATCTGCTTTTACTTTAAAATGAGAAGGATACATGTTCTTTAAAGTTACTGTAATCTAGTTTTTCTTAAAAAATACTTAACATAAATGTACTCAGGTTTCATAATTAAGAAGTTTTTAATGAACAGATAAAAAATCATTATTTTTCTTCTTGCAAGCAGATGAGACAAAGCCCGACTTGTACTAATTAAAATACCACTTCCTAAACACTACATATACGATGCCATTCTAATTCTTCAGCATCCATATGAGCAAATCAGAACATTAATATAAGTACCTTCAAAACAGAAGCACAACCAGCATTGAAATAGGAATGATCTAAACCAGGGTTTCTTAAATTTTTTGGGGTGAGAACCCCATAATATTTATGAATATTTTGTGGGACCCCATACGCATTGTGCAAATCCGACACATGCATGAGTGAAAAAACTGTAATGTAATATATTATTGCAGCTTTAGGTCATTAATTTTAATTTTTAAAGTAAAATGAATATTTCTGTTAAAAAAATGCTTCAAAACATTTTCGCTTTTTCTTTTTCTTACTGTATAGTCTTATCTTTATCTATTTTCAGATATATTATGTAAAAACACTTGGCAATTGTAAAATTATATAATTTAAAGAAATATCAAAATTGCTAAAATTTTTGGCAATCCCTTACTGCAGGTCCTGCAACCCCATTTGGGGTCATGACTCCAGTTTAAGAAACTCTGATCTCAACCTAACTTTATCACAGGGTAGTATTATAGCCAAGGTTTTTTACATGAGGAATGAAAACTTTCCTCACTTTGCTGCCACTGCTTGATTGTACCATCTTTAAATGAGGGTGGTAACTATGCCACGGTTGCCACATATTCTTGGAGGTCACCTTGTTGAAGTGACCTTACGTCTCAAGCCAAAATCAGTGTGGTCTAGAAACTGCAAATTGTACCAAAAGGCAAAAGTGCCTACAGAGCCATTATATAATATGTTTTTTGAGCATGAGCATTGGATGGTTATTAGCTTGCATCAAAGTTAATGAATAATACGGACTGATTATTTTATTCAAAGGCATTCATGACACACATAACTTTTCAAGTTGATTTTGTATTTGGGCATTAACTGATATGGTTTGTTTACTTTGGTGAGTGACAACATTTGGCTTTCTTTGGTGACATTAATAATCTTTGGTTATCAATCTTAAAAAATGCAAACTGAACAACATTCTTTTTTTTTTTAAAGTCCAAACGGGCAATTTGCCCAGAAGAACTATTAATTTCATTTTGGCATTTTTCGTTGATTCACTATGAATGTCGGTTTACTTTTCAAATTGTTGCCACCAAATATTAGAGCCCTGTATTACATTTAAAGAAATTAAATAATGAAGAAGCTGCATTAATGTATGTATGTTCCTCTCATTGTGATAAAACAATGGTACCTAGAGCCACCAAATTCTAAATACCGTACGTTTCCACCTGAATATGGGTATCTGGAAACCCAAATTTGGAATTTGTTTTATTATCTATTTCATATTTTGTAAAACCTTAACAAATTTTTGATTAACAAACTCAATGATTTAAGAGCGAGCAATGGCAAAACTGTAAGGGAAAAATAATATTTTTATCTCCAGCGTGCAAGACAGTGTACTGGAAATTCTAAGATATGCTCATTTTAAAATTATTTTGCGATATTGCTGTTGAACTGAATTTTATGGTTTAAGTACGAAGAACATGATATTTAATAAATAAAGGTAACACACAAAACGTTAAAAAACATCCCTTTGGGCGTAATGTAAAGTCTAAAAGCTTTCAGAATTTCTTTTTAGCCCGAAGGGCATTAGCCCAGAAGAGGACTATTAATTTCATTTTGACATTTTGTATTGATTCGCTATAAATGTCGGTTCACTTTTCAGATTGCCACCAAATATTATCGCCATGTGTTATATTTAAAGAAATTAAATAATGAAGAATCTGCATAAATGTATTTATGTTTCTCGCACTGTGATAAAACAACGGTATCTAGAGCCACCAAATTTGGAATAACAGAATCTTCCACGGAATAGGAGCATCTGGAAGCTCTAATTTGAAATTTGTTTTATTACCAATTTCATAATTTGTAACACTTCAACAAATTTTTGATTAACAAACTCGATTTCAAAGCAAGCAATGGCAACCCTGTATGGAAGAAAAAGCATTTTTATCTCCATCGTACGAGACTGTGTATCAGAAATTCTAAAGATATGCTCATTTTAAAATTATTTTGCGATATTTTTGTTGAACTGAATTTTATGGCTTGAGTGCAAAGACATGATATTTAATAAATAAACATAACACACAAAAGGCCAAAGGTTAAAAACAGTCCCTTTGGGCATAATGTAAAATCTGAAAGCTTTCAGAATTTTTTATTATATAGTTTATTTATTTATTCATTTTTTGCTATCTCCATTTCAAATACAAATACCTGAATTAGATAAATATTCTAATCTAGTTTCAGTTTCCTGTTCCTTCCTTACATCAACAGAAAATAAATTGCATCGCTTTTATATATGTCACATATTTCCTTTTTAACTAATGTCCAAAATACATTCTTATAGTTTATCTATATTTATCAATGCAGCACTTCTATTAAATGTCATTGTAATTGATGTACAACTTCATCTATTGATAAAAAACTACATTTTCAGACTGCATGCCCATCTTGAAACAATCGGATGGCTTCGTTTTTATTACTGGATAACATTCCAATGATTCATAACTATACATGAAAGACCACAAAAATTAAGTGCAATTATGTATGATTTGTAATATTATGCTATAAAGCACTAGAATAAAAATCGAGTAGTCTAAACTAAGATTAGAAAATATATATCAATATTAGTTCAAACATGGTATTGAGTAATGTATATGAAGAAATAAATAAGCCTAAATATATTGTAATATCAATGAACATTTTTAATGACAGAGATTATCTTAAACATAGTTGCATACAGCAGAGAAAAAAAGGGCGAAGAAGTAAGAATGGTATACATATACATACATACGTAATAACAGTTACGTCATCATTCATCACCGCGCGGATAAACGCGAACGGCGCATGCGTCAGGAGAAGCTCTCTTAAGCTAAACGTCGTATTATAATTTATGATACAACAGTATATTTTTGCTTTCACTGGCAAAAATATACATTACTCAATACCATGTTTGATACATCATTGTGAACAAAAGAGGTGGATAAAAATGAGAGCAATGGGAGGATGAGGGTGTGGAATGGAAGACCAACAATTGACAGAAATTTCTAAAGTTGTCTATTTTAGTATTATATAACTCCCTTTTAATTTTGCAGCTGGAAATTTGGCTGATAGTTTTTTTTCAGTACTGTACAGCTCCAAACACATATATGAATACACACTTAGAAAAAAAGATCTGAGTATAAACATATTTGCACAATTCAAATTTATGTTTTTGAAAGGTCAAATGTATGTTGTTCTAAATTTTTCAATAAACTGGCTATTTTCAGCACATGCTTTCAGAAATTCTTTGTTATAGTAATGCAAAAAAGACAGTCAAATAATTAAAACAAAACTTCAAAATTTATATCAACATCATTAAAACTATTCAAATTTTATACACAATATAATAATGAAGAAAACTTTCACCTATATCTACTTGAATAAATGTTCCTACAGCAAAATCAAGAGCAGCTAGAAGTAAAATTATAAGCAGACCAAATTGGAGGCGAATTACCCACTTTACTCCAGCTAAATTGATGCCTGAAAAGATATAAAATTACAATTTTATACAATGAAAAGATATAACATTGTTTACAAAAATTATGCAATTAATTACATATAACATTAAATGAATTAAAACAAAAATCCAGTATTATTCCATCAGTCATTAATCAAATAAACAAAAATGGACTTAAGCTAATAATGCACTGATAAAAGCTAAATTGATTAGAATAATTAAATATTTTCCTAAAGTAGAATGTATTATTTTTTTCCCCTTGCAGGGAGAGGGAATCTACAGTTCAAATAACTGGAAATTTATATACAGCCATGGCAGATGAAATATATTACTGAAAATTCTGAGTAAATATATTACAAAGCAACAGCAGGACTACAGATAAAACATTAACACACAGTTAATTAACAGGAGAATTTCTCCACCTAATTACTTATGTATCAATTTTCTTGAGGTCTATATTCCCAAGAAATCATGATTAGATTTTATAATCAAAACTATTTTTACTAATTATAAATCTTAAATATATTATATATTACTAATGATGGAACTTTCAGATAAAGTAACTATTAAAAAAATAATTAGAAACTGGAAAAAAAAAATTATTCAGGAAATAGAAAACAAAAATTCAATAAATATAAAAGATCTGCTGTGAAGATCCCTACAATAATATGTAAAATAATAACTACAGTGTTTTTAAATATATGGATTATGAAGTTTTATATTTTTGAACTAATGAAACTATAATTACCTTTACTCATATACCTTTAACAAAAACATTCAAAACATGTTCAGTTAAAATAAATATATTTGGCACACAAAGAAAAATTTCAAATTACTACATTTTTCTTTTATTTACTATTACTATTAAGATAAGAAAAAATAATTATGACTTGTATTTTTCTTTCATCAAAATATTAAGCATACTAAAACATTTGCGAATAGCAAGAAAATGTTTTAATTTGCAGTAATACAGTAGAAGTCCAGAAACCTGCAAAGCTTGGAATCAGCGGTTGTGCGGATTTCAGGACAGAAAAGATAAATCATAATATTCAGACTAAAAGTGCAAAATAAAAAAGGCATATTAGATACATTTAATTAAATTATTATATACATTATCGCCATAACTTATTATATGCATTAATATTACATATATAAATTGATTATATTATTGTATTATCGATCATTATTCACCAAGTTAGCCGATTTCACCTCATGCAAAGATTTCCAGTCTTGGATTCCGGTGTTAGAATCACTGTTGCTGTAAAATTTCAACAGCTTTTCTTTATTTTTCCGCATATTATTATCAATCGTGTTGCAATTCCATACAATTCTGCTATAAATGGAGGAGTAGCACCTGCCTCCCTCTTTTGCAGAATTTGCACTTAATGGTATTACCGTCAAATTCTTTTGCAGAATTTGTCCTTTTTGCGTTACTGTCAACGCAACACGTGTTTACGTTTTTCAACATTGCAAGCAGTAAAATCATGAGTACGTTTCTTATCTGTAATTGTATTAAAAAGGGCTGAAATTTAAAATATTCTTAATTTATCCACAAAATATCCAGATAAAAAAAAAAGGCAACACTAAATAATCTCGTGAAATAACAAAGCTCAGAAAATACAACAATGTGAATCGTGAACTTGAAAAAAGAGTTGAGTGAATCGTCTGCTTTTTTACCTCGATGCAGATTAGAGGGGAAAAAACTTATCATGACGTCAATAATTTGGTATTTCCATTATGACTCATTATTATTCGGTAATTATGATGTCATTATTCCGTAAGTATTTTTTCTTCGATATTTCGTACTCGATGTTGCGGTTTCCAGAACCTATAAATTGAATGTTTATATTTTGAGAGGCAACGCGGATTTCGGGAGTTGGCAGATTTTTGGTATTTGACTGCACTTCTAAATAGATGTAAAGGCAGGTAACGGAAACTGAAATAAGCAGATTTTGTAATGGAATTCGTGTGCAAAAATGATGCTTTGATATGGTACAGAGTGCTGTTGAGCAGCAAATGAAATAATTTTTCTGGCATAAATTATCATTACTTGCCATCTAATGCTGGTTTCACTGTCATTTATATGCAGATTTTGAGTAGTATGCAATACTACATGAATGCAGAATTCACCGATATAAATTTTATCAGTGTGATTGCTGCTAAATGGAGCAACTGTTTAAAGAAGTACACAGAACACTGAGCAGTTCCTCCATTTTCACCTGCAGACTCATGGATAGAATGCATATTGGTGAGCTTTATGCTCATGTAGTGATGCCTAAATCTCAAAATTTGTATGGGGAATGACATTTTACTTCAGCAGAAAAATTTTACCAGCCATCAATGAACTGAATACACTGAACAGTCGTTCACCTAGAAGATAGCGTGCGCTGACACGACCATCGACATGATGAGTGAAAAATTGTGATTCATCTGACTAACCATTTTCCACTTACCCATGGTTCAGTCTCGATGTTCCCCAGCCCATTGCAGGCATAGTTGACAATGATCCTTGGTCAACAGAAACACATCAGTGGGACATCTGCTGTACAATCTCATATCCAACAGTCCCCGCTAAACAGCGTCTTCCGAAACACTTGGACCTGCATTCTACTGGGCTGTTAGCTTAGCCCCTGAGTGGCGCTGATTTTGCCAGTCTCGGGACAGTCTCCAATTGTTAGATATTAATTACGTTGCTTGCCGATAGATGGCAGTGCCTCTAACCTGACTAGCTAGGCAAGTGCATGGTATTTGTGCTGCGTCACACTCTCATCGCTTGCCGCCAACCATGTAGCATCAATGTCTCTCTTATGTAATCTAATTAAGTAATCTAATTTATTCTTATAAATAAACAGTAATTTATCTATGTTTGACGAGTCAACATATATAACATGGTGTCAGAGTAAACCATGCTCACGAATTTAATGCATAAATTGATATTTTAAGGATTACGTGCATTTGAAAAACTTGGAATCAAAAATGGTGCATAACCTGCCCACGTTGTCACCATTTGACGCTGGATCGAACCCTTCTGAAGCTTGGAGACTTCGAGGACTATATCGAGGCATTAAGATATAGCCAAGAGTCAGAAAGCACAAAAATTGCGCTTTTTCGACACGTTTGTGGTGACGAATTAAAAGAGCAATATCGATCGTTTGATTTGAAGCCAGAAGCGGGCAGCAGTGAAGTGTCCTTGAAACAAGTGCTACAAGATTTCAACAAATATTTTGCAGATTATCAGAGTGAGATTTATGCATCATTCAAGTTTCTCGAAATAAAGCAAGAGAAAGGAGAGAAATTTACGGACTTTTACTCAAGGCTACGATGTGCAATAGTAGATTGTAGCTATGGGCAAGTGCAAGATAGAATGCTCCATGATAAAATAGTGCAAGGCATCTCAGATAAAGCGTTACAAGAACGGCTAATAAGAGAGACAAATAGAGCAAAAAAGATGCTGCAGAATATCATCGTATCCATGGTTGCTGAATGATTGACCCAGATTACATCTCAAGCTGCCACACCAGATCAACTTTGGCTATGTGTGGAAGCTGCTTGGTCTGCTGTACCCCAAGAACACAAAGTCTCTTTGAATCAATGCCGAGGCATGTGGCAGCGTTGATCTACAACAATGGCGGCTACTCTGGCTACTGATCTTGGAAGGAACCACATATCACAGAAGTCTATAAATTTAATCATTTGATACTTGGTCAACATGTTATCCACTAAATAAATTTTGTTGCGATATCTCTTTTCTTTCTTGGTGTTGCAGTTTGGGTGGCCAGCAGTGTATTTTTCAATTACAGCAGAATGAAACTCTTCCAATCCCATCCAGAAATTTGGCTAAAGAAACTGAAATTGATGCAGAACTCAGTCCTCTGCTACGAATACTTCAAAGCGGCGGTGAATTGAAAAGAAGGGAGATGGAGTACAGTCTCCAAGGTGTTTGTATAATGTATGGTCAATGCGTTCGTATTCCAAAATGATACCGTGATAATGTTTTAAAAGAGTTGCACCACGGACACTTAGGGACAGTAAAGATGAAAGCAATTGCTAGATCATATGTATTTTCGAATAAAGATATCGAAAATACTTCCAAAAACTGTTCTGAACGTACATAAAATAGATCCTCCTCAGGTTCATCATTGGAAGTACCCGAGCGCTCCAATGGAACATATTCACATCGATTATGCAGGACCTATTTTTGAGCATATGTTTTTGATAATAGTTGATGCTAATTCAAAATGGCTAGAAGCCTATCCATTGAAATCAAGCTCGACTTTCAAAACAATAGAATGTTTACGGGACTTATTTTGCACGACTCGGATTACCAATATTGTTAGTGAGTGATAACCGATCACAGTTCACTTCACATGAGTTTAAGATATTTCTACCTAGTAACAGAATCAAATACAAAACTGCAGCACCATTTAAACCATCTAGTAATAGGTAGGCTGAACAGTATGTGTTTACAGTAAAACAATCTTTAAGAACAATGCAAAATTATCTATGAACTTTGAGAAAAAAACTCAGTACATTTTTGATGCAATATAGGAAAGCTCCGAATTTAACTATTCTCCAAAACCCTGCAATGCTAATGCTGAAGGAAAATTCGAACAAGAATAGATTTATTGAGACCAGATCTCAAAAGGAGGGTGGAAGACAGAGTTCGAAAAGAAAACTACGAGTTTGCAGACCGAGGATTTAGTGTAGGAGCCAGAGTCTCAGTAAGAAATTATCGCCAAGGTGATAGACGATGGAGATTTGGAACTATCCAATCCGAGGATGGACTGCTTTATTACACCATAAATGTAGACGGTCGCTATGGCGACGACATATCGATCAGATGCGTGATGGAGGAATCGTAATAGATGAGGGGGTCATACATCCACCTCCAGCTCTCGTGATTTCCAAAGAGCTTGACAAGAGTGGAATTCCAGAACCATCCAAAGATAATAATCACAAGGCAGATGAGTCTGTGTTGTCCTCCGAGCCCAAGGTTGTACGAGATGTTCCATCCACCGGACCTGTTGCTGATATAACCAGGCTACCAAAGAAACCTGCAGTGCCACAACTTTTGTGTCGGTCAAGTAGAATTCGACGTTCCCCAGATAGGCTGTAGTTATGATAAAGGGGGAGGAATGTGGTATATCGAGAACTATCGATGTGGTATATCATAATTGGACTTTAAGCTGGCACAGCGCCAGGCATCAAAGCGCGCACAGTAATAAGAAAAGGACTGGAATGCAAGTAGCTGTACATATAAGTGTGTATGTGAGTGATGATATATTTTGTTTATAATAAAAGTAGCATGTAGTTTAAAAGGAAGTATCTTTTGAAATAATTACCCACTAAAGGATACACGACATTTACAGCTCTATGTTCGACTTTTCAGGGGCACAGTTAGGTCTTGCTTTCCTGTTTAATGGATAACAATGCTCGTCCACATAGGGCTCAGCTGGTTGACGATTACCTGGAGAGTGAGAATATTCGTCACATGGACTGGACAGCTAGATCCCCGGATCTTAACCCTATACAGTATGCTGGGATGCTCTTGGGAGGACAATTTAATCTCGCAATCCCCTCCAAGAACCATACTGGAGTCGAAAACTGCCTTGCTCCAGGAGTGGGACTTTTTTGCCACAGGGATTCCTCAAACTGCCTCTTGCATCATCCTGCGCAAGCTGTCAGGTCATGAGGAAGAAATCATACTCCATATTGGACTCCTTTTCTGTTTGATATCACAACATGGATTTTGGATATCCTTGTACTACGAGCTTTACTGATAATCACAGGTCCATCAAATGACTTTTGAATGGTACATATCTTTCTCTGTTTAAATGTATATTCATGTTGAAGGGGGAGGGGAGATATAAGAAAAGTAATGCAAATCATGTTCTTTATGGTTCGAATGTGGATCCTAAATGTGGATGGCATTCAGATTTAGTAATTTTTTTATTTAAATTTGTAGAAATTCTGGAAAAAGCATAAAAAACAGACAAAGTTTAGGTCAAAGATAATTATACAGTTTGGCGTATTCAATTTTTATACTTTTGGAGGTTCGCTGTAACAATATTAAATAACATGAAGTACATAGCAAAGTTCATTCATTATAACAAGGAGAAGGGGGCTGTTATAAGATGGGTTCAACTGTATTTATAAATTAGTTAATTTCTTTAAAATAGAAGTAGTATAACAAAACATACAATAGGCTTCCCAATAGATTACAAATGTTATGAAATTAATTACCAAAAGAAGATGAATAATATAGTTTTGATGCAAATTTGTTTCAAAATGTTTCATGCGTTTGCAAATAAAAACTGAAGATTTTGCATTTACCTAAGAGTAACGTTATAACTCCAACAGCAATAGCTCGTATTGCCCATGGATTAGAGACAGCAACAATCTGTGAAAATGACTCAGCAAAGCCCATTACGTGTAATGCACAACTGACTGACTGCGAAAAAAAAAATAAAAATAAAAATGAAAAGCAGACTTCACAAAACAAATTTTTAAAATATAGATATGGTACAAAATCAAAACTTTAAGTGCTCAGTACTTAAAACACTTAAAAATATACAGAGTAAATTTCACAAATCCTCTGCAATCATATATTAGAAAAGTCAAAGAGAAAAAAAGTGTGCGAGGCATGGACACATTCAGTTGACTAATGTTTATCGTTTAACAATGTTTTTACCTGAAACTTTGTGCTTAGTGAAGTTTTTGATTAAATTCATGGGTTGATTTATTTTGTTAATGTTACTGCTCATAGTTGCACAAAGTTATATTTAAAATAAAACAAAAAAATTGATTCACCTTCCTTTAATCTAAGATTATTTATCTATTTATTTAATTTCACTTATTGTCAAGTCGCAAAATGTATAATACAACTTTGAAACTGGATTTATTCCCTACTTCTTAATTCTCTCATACTCATTCTCATGCAATTCATATCATAGCAAGTTTCATGCATTCACTTATTCAATTCATTAGAGAACAAGCAAGGGGGCTTAACCATTGAGTCCCAGGGGGTAGAAAAAGCACTGCTGAAGAATCCCAAACAGTGCAACCGCACTTTCTCTAAATGAGTACAAAAAGACCCAAGCAGCGTGATAGCACTTGTTTTATTTTATGTCAAGAAATACCAAGCGACACAATAGCACTTTGTTTATTTTACATCGATGTGCACTTGATTTTAAATCAAGTGCACCATCAGTTGTCCACAATGTCCGAGTTTTCTCGACATAAAATCTCAACAGTGTGATCATGCTGCTTGGACTCAAATGGTTAATAAAGCAAACTAGTTAGCATAATTAAAACAATTAGTATAGGAACTTAATCTTTGAATAATATGTCATTACTTTTACAGAGTTCGTACACATTTCTGCACACGGAAATTAAGTACTTTTAAGAACCATTAATGAAAAAATTAAGGACCTATGAGCAAATGGGAACTGAATAAATTGAATTAAAAATATTATTCTATGCCTGATTTTCATTTTTGTAATACCATTCTAAAAATAAAATAGATCCCTGAGTAGTATGCATTATTACTAAACACGAATTAATTAACATAATTATTAATAAGTTTGAGAATAAAATAAACTGTATGAAATTTATCAAGTAGCATTAACTATTTTACACTTATATATATTTGAAAGACATATTGAAAGAACATATAGGACATATTTGAAAGAAGATAAGTGACATTTATGTTTTACTAATAGTTAGCTTTATGTCAATTTTTGTTTATGTCTTATTTTGTCACATACTTAGTCAGTCTAGAAGTTTAGTAAATAGCAGGTAGATTTTATGTCAAAAGGCATAGGTTAAAATGAGAAGTAACTCATAACAAAAGACTAAAGTTCAACATGACTCAACAAAAGACTAAAGTTCAGCATGACTCATAACAAAAGACTGAAGGTTTTTACTGCTGTTGCTTGTCTAGAGAGAGACCTGCTCATTAGAACAAACCTGAAAGGCCTGATGTAGACACAGTTGGGAAGTCTTGAAAGTTAATCAGGCTCTGTTTGATGCAATTAGTGTCATAGTTTCGTGTAGAGTTCCAAGGGGTTGTAGCCCAGTTAATATACTTTAATGTTCCAATAAGTAATTAAAGTACCAGAGATGATAGGTTGTTTTGTATTATTTTTAAGTTTCACTAGATGCAAAGAATAAGTTTTACTTGAATTTTTACATTTTATCTTGTGACCACAGTGAGTGTTAATGAAAAGCAATAACTCACTTTAATATGTAGACATAATTTTTAAAAGTAAGATTTAGTTATAAATAATTAAATTAGGTAATTAGATAACCTTAGTCATAATGGATTAACATGGCCACTATTAAATTTTATTTTTTAACAATATTTGTTAAAAAAGCCTATTAAAATCAAAAGCTAATAAATTTTCATAGTTTAAAATATATATAATTTATGACATTGATTCTTAAACGATATTAGGATACACATTAAAAGCTACAAAACATTTATGCTTTGTAACAACAACACTCAACAAAATATTTATCCATCATTTTAATTTGAAGCCTTCCCAAATATTTTAACTAGTTTATATTCATGTCCTTCTCTTCTCTTTAAGCATCTTTTCTAACAATTAAGAGATTTGTCTCAATAAGCAAACCAATGCTCTCGCTAGTTTCTGCGTGCTTATCTTCTAACTTGTTAACCTCTCCAGAAGGTACCTAGGAGGGATTACTTGATCTGGTAAAAGTTAAATAGTCCCAAACCCTTGAGTGAATCATAAACTGAAAGGCTGAAATCATTAAACAACAGGTAAGTTACATAATAACAACCGCACATATCTTTGAAGAGTAATTTTCTTTACGTACTCAGTTTCTTTCTTCAACATGTTTCCTTTTCATTTCAGAATTTTTGAATCTAACTAAGGATTTCTGTTATTCTAAAAAACACTAAATGCATTTAGAATGTATAGAAAAAGTAGCTAATTTTATTTCTTTAGTAATATGAACATTCAGAAGAAATATGAAGTATATATGGTAAAGCCCGATTACAAAGCTGATGTGGCAGAATTTTTAGAACTTAGTGACACACCGAACAACAAAATCTAGAAATAGCAAAACTTTTAGAATTTAAAGCAGGCATTGGAAGCAGAGTTTAGAAAGGCACTAGGCAGCAGAATTTAGGATCCACAGAGATTGCATCAGGTGGGAAATGCCTAGTGCGAGCTATGTGTTGATGCATCAAGACATATTAGATGAATCTTTTTAAATTGTAAATTTTCAATTTCTTTATTAATAAAAAAATCCCTTTCTATAATGTCTGGCCATGTGATAAGATTAGAAGCAGTTTTGATATTTTCCATACTTGTGTCTAGTGAGAAGTAGAGAAAATAAAGGGAAGATAAACATGTAGGGAAAGAGATTCTAGTATCATAAGTAAAACATTCAAATAGTATTATGTTTTTATTGTTCTTCCAGACGTTCTCCAAAAGGTAAGAAATTCATCGCAAACTTTCTGTAAAATACATCCATTACATGTTGATACCATGGAGACATTTTTCATTTTGTCACATATTTCTCAAATCTTCTAGAATCGTGGGTCTATAAATCTTGCCTTCAAATCCTTCTAAACTTTCCAAGCTGCAATGTCTAAAATACTAGAGAAAAATTATCCCTACCAATTCTGTAACAGCAAAAAGGCAGAAATATTTTTTGGGGGGGGGGGGGGAAAGAGGGAAAAAATGTAAAATTAATTTTATAGAGAAAATTGATGCATATTCTGAGAATTTTGAATATTCTGAGACTTACTATGAAAAAAATTAAAAAGAAGACATTTTTAATTAATTACATAGCTAACTTTGCTCTTGTTAAGAGCTGTTTCGTAAATTATGCTTTATAGCATTATGCCTTATTTTTCAGATTCATAATATAGTATAATAAGTTGCCAAAATGAAACTTTATAATATGACAGCGAAAAATAGAGATGTTTTATTTTAATGTTATTTTTTAAATATAATTTCAATATATTACCATTATTTTAATGAAATTTATCAATGTTGTGATGTTTTGAAAACAATCATCTATAAATTCTCAGATCTCGGAATTAAAAATTTTCTATAGAAACTGATCTTAAAATCCCCAAAATGTTGACAAGTCGCCAAATTTAGAACCGTTTAATAAAAGAATTTACATCCCCAAAAGCGAAAAGTTGTTTAAGATTTCTTTATTAGATAAAATGAATTTTGAAATGCTTATGTTTCACTTCTTGGTTAGAAACTCGAGTATCCCATCATTTATATTAGGAACAGAAACAAATTATACCCCATTCAAAAGAAACCATACGTGTCAGTGAATTGCCAAAAATATTCCTCCATAATGCTAATTCACACTCAAAATGGGTGTCATAAAAACAGACGGAAATTTCAGATGATTAAAATTACGGACCTTCTGCTGATTTTGGCCAAAATTAAGGACTTTTAAGGACCAAAAATCAATTCCAAAAAAATTAAGGCCTTAAAAAGGACTCTTAAGGACCTAACGGAAGCACTTCCGCAGAGAACCCGGTAAATGTAAACATCGCCAACTTTGGCGATAATAGTTCAAACCTGGTAACCTAGCTAATTCATCCTATTCGCTTATGCGAAGGTTGTCGTTGTTCGCATTTGGAGATTTATATTATTTTTCTCTTATTTATTATTATTTTTTCTGAATTTTTAACAACGAATAGATAGAAATATTTTCGCATAATTAAAGAAGTTTTCGTCGAAAGATGCCGGTTCTCGGGTCGTCAGTTCGGGATCAAAGGAAGAAATTATGGCGGGAGGGGTGAATGCTAATTTGTAACATGGCTGTTCACGTTATATTCTTAATTATTAACAGCTGTAAGCACGCAGAACCATGAGGTTTCCAACCCCTATAATAATTTTTAAAATGTATAAAGTTCTAGTTTTATTAAAAATGCTACTGAAGAAAATTTGATTACTGTTGAAGGTTATTTCATAATATATCACAATGTGAAATACATTATGAAAAAGGATAGGTATTTGTTTCATCAACGTAAAATGCTTTAAGCTGTATGCAAGTAACTTGAAAAAAAAAAAAAAACTTAAAACTATGTAAAATGGATATATTAAAGGTCATGCATTTATTAATTTATTACATGGGCATGGCTCTTACCGAAATACATCAATCAACAGGCAAAGTACTTAATAGTGAAAAAAAGACATTTGTAATAGAAATATTAGTATTCTATGAATTAGGGAAAATACATATAAGTATATTGTAAACGTAAGTATAATAATACTAATTGTTATTTTTTAAATGAATTTTTACTTCCCGTTATGTTTAATACATTGTTTTCTGTGCTAACTTGAATTTAATAGAAATTTATTTTCGTATATCACGTTTAACCTGTTAGTTTCATATCTACATACTTATTATCTGTGAATTTTTACTACCATTGTCTGCTAACTTGAATTTACATCACTAAAAACCACGTTTACAAAAATATCACGCTTACGGCTCGACTCATTGGCGAGTAAAACTGCAACTGCTCTAAAGGGTTCTTTCCCGAAGCGCCAACGGGTTCTCTGCGGATGAAAACCCGACCTAACTTTTAGCTATACCTTCATTTACACTTTATAATAAAAATTATTGAATATTGTATAAATTATTAGCAGAAAAATAAATAAAAAAACGGTACTTATGTAGTAGCACAACCACTTTGGTACAATTTGATGAATTTACAGAAGAAAAAGAATAACTACCAAAAATATCAATTACATATATACACATTATTATAGATATACTTTATATTTTAATTAAGTATTTATTCTGAAAATCAATCAAACTTATTTACAAGCAGAATTTTGTTTATTTTGTTTCGGTGGAAATTTTGAAGCAATTCTCAGTGAACAAATTCAAAGCAACTATCCATCTTATTGATTTTGCAGAAAACTACTATATTCCTACAAAAATTCTACCATGATTTCTTCCATTGCAGGCAAATCTCATAAGCACATATTTTTGAAATTGAGTTCAAGACAAGAAATTTAGTAGACAACAGCTGGAAAAACAAAAAGATATGTATGAAAATGGCAACACTGCTTGTTAAAAAAACAGAAGAATTGTTATATTCATAGTTGTCACAATTTGGCACTTTCTGACAATCTGCTGACTCCTACTAAGATGATTATGCTAACACATAAATATTGAAAACATTAATACTTCAATTTTATCACCACATCAAATGAAAACACACTTTAGCAATTTAAAATAACAAAATTTAATTATTAAACAGAGATTACATGACACATTAAAAATAAAACACATATTTTTGCAATATCCTTGTATATAGTTTTTTTTTTGGGGGGGGGGAGCTGCTCTTCTTCACCTGTGCACATCAGTTTTTGCTTTAAAAAAAAAATCAGAAAATTGTACATTACACATTAGGTATTTACCAAATGCATCTCATCATTATTCTCTTTAGAATTTTTGCTGCAAAATAATATATTCTGGCAGAAATATCACTCCACTTTCTTCTACTGCTAGCAAACTCAATAAGCACATATTTTAGAAGCGAATTTAGGGCAAAAATATCACAACTTGTTTCTAAAAGTCATTGGTTCAGAAAAAAAAAAAAAAAAAAAAAAAATGTTCAGTAACAGCTCGACTATCCGGAATACTCAAGAAATGCTGAATTCCAGATACGTGAAATTTCCAGACAACAATGTATAATTATCAAAAATATGCTTCACCTGACCAAAGCAATATATCAGACTAACAGCTCCTCCTGTACGAGCTCCAAAAATATGAGACAGAAGGAAATGAACTCCTCCACTTTCCAGATGACATCTTTCACAAATTCCAATACCAGATAACACTGTTGTTGTTCCAATAAGAACTGTTATGCATACTATACCAATAGATGGGCCGACTCCAGCATTTCCCTTAAAAAGAAATAAAATCAGCATGGAATTTCAAAATCAAAAGTTTTAATAAATGAGTTATTAATTTATAAGAAAAATTTTATAAGCACATATAACTTATGCTGAAGCATACAAATTGACAATACCAATACACACAGTATATTTTTTAATAAAAAATTCCCAACTAATTTTAACTCATTCTTATACATTCAAATATCTGTTTATATATTTAAAACTTAAGTAAATTAACACATTACAGTTCAATATAAAAATTAGCAGTTTCTTGAACTCTCCATGATTTTGTTTCTAGATATAGATGTACCGGCTCCCAAATTAATAACATCGTTAGATATCTCATTTTACTATTAAAAAATATTAATAGAAAACCAATTTTTATTCTAAAATTCAAAATGGGTTTTGAAAACCAAGTCTCACAGTTCTGTTATACATCTGGGAGATATACTGATAATATTTACACATATTAAAAAATTCTGAGTTTTTATTAAAAAATAAATCACTTTACTTTTGTAATTTTTACAGTTACAAAATTAATAAAAAATATGATTTCCAAAAAGTATATTGCAATGATAAAAATGAATTTTTAACTTATTATAATATACAATAAAGAATACACTGCAAAATGCAGGGAAACAATGATTTTATTATTCTGTTAAATAATATAAAATCCTAAAAAAATAATTATGCACACAATAATTAAAATTACAAGGAATGGCACACAATTTACCTTATAGTAAAATGTTAATTTTGGGCAAAAACAAGAACTACATTCTATGCAGCTTCAACCCATGCCAGAGTTAATCAAATGTAGTGGCTGGTGAGTGTTGACATGACAGTCTCTCAGCAACCCATGACCAGATGCTCTGTGGCCATGGTCTCTGCTTTGGATGAGAGATCTGCAGAACATGCTGGCTAGGGCAATAGCTAAACATCCTCTATACTGAGGAAGGTTAAAACAGCATAAAAAACATGCAGTTGAGCATTATCTTATTGAAAGATAGCATCACACAAGGCCTTTAAGATGCCACATGCCTTATACATCAGAAATATAAAAGCAGCCATCCACATTACTGGGTATATGTACAAGAGGTGAAGATGAGTACCCAAGGACACCCTATAATAGTACAGCAGATGCTGGGCCTTCATGATAATGATAAATACCAGCTGGCAACGTTAATTCTCCTAGTGCCTCCATAAACATCATTATCATGATGCTGTATATAAAACTGGGACTCAAAAGAAAAAAACAACTTGATGCCACTCCTCTGTCCAGTCTCATCATTTGCAACACCACTGTAGACATGGATATCTCTGCTACAGCATCAAGGGAAACCGAAACAATGGTCATTATGCTGACAGTCTCTGGAGCTACAGACATCATCAAACTGCCTTCGTGAACAGTTACCATCCTACACACAAATCAAGTTCCCGATTCAGGGTACATGATGTAGCTGTATAATTACACAAGGTTGAGAGAAAAACATGTCTCTTTTCTCAGACCTAGGGATGCTGAGATCCTACATGGTGCAAAGTATGACCCTCTTGGACCCATCAGTTCCATATTTACATGACAATCATAGGATACCAACAAACATGAGCAACAGTATCATGGAATGATAAACCACAGTTCTGATAGCTCTGATCCTGCCTTGGTAGAATTCTGATATGTGCTGGTAGGAATTTCTTCTTTTTATACAAGGCATAACATGACTTCTACAGAAATAACTACTGTTCAAATGCAATTTCCAAATGAGAAACCCATTGTGCAATCTTCCCATTTACATACAATGTGAATGGCATTATTCATACCTGCTTTGTGAGCATGCATTGGAATGCTAATCATCTGCATATTTCAGCATATAGAACCTTTCACACAAATTTGACATTTGTGACAAGCGATGGCTAGCACAGCATTATCAAAGCATGAATAAACAGTAATAATAATAACATAAAGAAGGACATTAAAATTTAAATTTACTTTTGAACTGAAAACTAAAGACTGGTTATACTTTGTAATTCAAATGTAAGGACAGGTAAATATTAAATTTTCAGACTAACATTTATTTCAGATATTTTTAATATGTTGAATTAAACACTAAATAACTTACTTGCATTATTAAATAATTTAATGAAATTTTCTAAGTTTTCAGAGAAAACTTTCCTAATGAGACAAAATTTGAGAATAAATAATCACAAACTATTTTTCTTTCTTTTATTTATTAAATTTTACTTTAACACATGCAGACAAAATACTAGAAGCTATTATCACAAACTATTTTTCTTTCTTTTATTTATTAAATTTTTCTCGAACACATCCAGAAAAATCATTAGAAACTATATTCATCTTAGTTAATAGATGCTAACTGGTTTATCAGGTTTTCTAAATTTATTAATTTTCAACTACTGAGGAAAAAAAAAAAAAAAAATTGGTCGCATATAAATGTATTGCCAAACAAAGTGACTATTCTTATCACAAAAATTCATAACTGTGAATGTTTGTCTTTTGGCAAGGGGGGTGTAACGTAGCAGGCCTCCTCGTGGTGCACCCTGGATAACATTAAATCTGCTACAGCTTTACTGGAAAAGCTGTTACATTGGTTAAGAAAGGAACTTTGTTAATGCAATGCATAAATCGACCACTTTCCTTTCATGACTAAACTGTTTGTTAATCTGACTCTTAAGAAAATTCTTAAAAAGGATATGATTCAACATGCTATGGATAAGAGATGAAGGTTTCTGGAAGAAGAGACAACTTTCATTCCCAGTTTTCCAAGAAAGACTGCAGAAGCTTTATTTAGACATCTGACTGGACATGACTGTTTGCAAAACCACCTCTATAGAATTGTTGCAGTGGATTCCCTAAACTGTGTTTTGTGTGACTCTGATCAGCCTATGATTTTTGAACATTTAAATAATTGTATTGCACTTTCTCGCTATGAGGACATTGTTAAAAAGCACTGGAAAGCCTGTGTCTTGGGCTTAAGCGCTAATATTTGGCATTGTAAAATCTTCTGACAAAGACAAATAAAATTTATTTAATTTTTTACCTTCAAATCTCTGAATACGATTTACATAACAGCATAAATTAGCTCTTGTACAATTTCTTGGGTGTTATACATATTCATTTTTAATGGTAATGAAAATAACATAAAAACAGATTAAACTCATTAAAACCACTCTTCAAAATTTTGCTTCAATGATGCTATTTTCTTTGCATATTCCTGAATGTTTTGATTTGAAATAATAAGACAAGATTTAAGATGGAAACAGATGTGAATTATTTTAATTCTAGTTATGTTTCACACAGTTTCAATTAACTTAAGAAGCTTTATTACAAAATATAAGTCAGTGATAAGTTCATTTTTACCTTGCAATTCTTAATTGAAAATATTTAAATGGCAGGTCAAATTAACAAGAAATACTACACTGGTTATCAATGTATCATCATGTAGCTCCTCCATGGTTTCATTTCATTTCATTTTTTTTTTTTTTTTGTGTGTGTGTGTGTGTGTGTGTGTGGTGAATATTTTTGATTTCATTTGTTAAAAAAAATTACTCCAGTTCCTTGACCTAATCACCTAACTTTGTTATAATAAATCCTGCCTCCAAACTCACTTGTTCAAGCAATGTAATAAATTCTCAATGATTTAGAGCTCATCCATAGATAATTTTAGTTTTAGCTACTGCTCTCATAACATTATTCATCAGCAAACTTTTCACACAAATTTCTTCTTGATAAATAATGCAATGTATAGAACAAGCTGAAATTTTTCTTTCACTGCACTGCTAAATTTTAAATTAAATAACATAAAACAGATTAAAATTATTAAAACCATTCTTAAAATTTTTGCTGCAATGATGCTATTTTTTTTGCATATTCCTGAATGTTTTGATTTGAAATAAAAAGACAAGATTTAAGATGGAAATATATTAATTATTTTAATTCTAGTTATGTTTCTCACAGTTACAATTTAACTTCAGAAGCTTTATAACAAGATATAAGTCAGCGATGCTCATTTTTTGGGGGGGAGGCATGTTCTGATTATCCAGTGCAGGTAATTAGAATGCAATTAAAAATAATATTATCTGATAATTTTTTTAAATTAGTTTATTTGAATAAAGCAGAGCACATAAGGATATCTGCCTAATGGACACCTTTATGGAAGACTTTGAAAGGTAAACTGGCTTATATTTATTTTACAATAGACAGTTCAATTGCCCGAGTTCAAACTACTAGCTTGATCAATTCTTTCAATCATTTTAACCATCTGGCCACTGGTATGATGGATAGATTTCCAAACTGTTGTTAGAAGAAAAACTGGTTTTTGGAAAAAAAAAAAAAAAAAAAAAAAAGGATTACATCTCCAAACTGTTTTTTTGGGGAAAAAAAAAAAGGTTACATTTGTTACATATTCAATACAATTACTTTAGATTAATATTTAATTGGGTGGAATTTTTATACATTATATTGTGGAATGATACAGACTTTCTGGTACTTTGATTTTCTGTACCACCTAAAAAATATTTACAAGGCAATGCACTATGCCATCAAAACAGACAACATACTGACATTGGCAAAATATATTTACGTGTCAATCCAGGTATGTGTGTGCACGTGCAGAGCAGAAAGCTGATTTTTACCTTCAAATTTAATGGTTATTTTTTTATTATTATTTAATTCTGTTGCATTCAAGTAACTTTTTAAATACTGGTTAGGAATCATAATGAGACTATGGAGTTTGCTAGCTGATGAAAAAGAAAGTGTAGCATTTCTTCGAAAATGTGGCAATTTGCCCAGCTTTACAGAATGCAAAAGTTTGCATCCTATGAAGATGTATTGCATTAATGATCAAATTTTATTGATCAAAATTTGTGCAGTTCTCAAATACCTTTTTAAGTGAATACAAATTGCTGTGTACGTGGGAAAAATAACAGTTGTGCATGGAGTTTCTGCAATTCTCCGATTTTTTTTTAAGTTAACGCATATCATCATGTACATGCACAGAACAGCACAAAAAAAAAAAAAAAAAAAAAAAAAAAAAAAAAAAAAGAGGGTCAGTTTTTTAGTATAGGTGCTTCTCATATTTTAAATTTTATTAACTGGTTGCTCTTTTATGTAATTCTTAGCTCAATGCAATTTCTGTAAATGGTTGTTGTTTTTCACATCTTAGTTTGGTGAAAAATTAGTCGCCAACGGTTGGCAATTTTTCGGGATGGAGGGGTGGATAATTAGAAAGTATTAGTTTCCTTTGATAAGTGCATAAGTTTAAAAAATACTTTTTTGGGTATTAAAATTTATTGACAGCATTGGCAACATCAGAAAAAAAAATTATGTAACTCCAAGAAACAAATTTTTTTTGCGTGTTCTAGAAGTCTCCCCAATACTTAGAATAATTCAGAGCTCAAAATTCAGGTTTGGATTTTGAAATATCACTATTTTGAACAGTATTTTTCCAAAATTTCTAATAGATAAAAACATGAAAAATATTTGAACATACAAATAATGTAACAGTTCTAATACAAACTGAAAAAGGAATAAACAAAATATCTAAATGGTGTTGATTTATTCCTCATTTGCAAAAATCTTCTAAAATTTGTAAGTCTTTGTGTTACAATAGAGTTATTGCCCTAAATGCAAATAGCATTTTACACAAATTATTATAAACTACAGCATAATGTTACTTATTTTCATACTTACCACAATCCAACCAACTCTTAAGAATATTATAACACTGAAGAGATTGATCATGCATGATGTGAACACTCCATCCCATACACCAAATAATACAGGTTCTGACAAAAAGAAATTTGTTTTCCACCATGGTTTGCTATTTGCTAACTAAAATAAAAATTAAAAACATAAATAAATTCATTGATAATATCATTTTATTAACCATGTTTAAAAAATAAATATATTTTAAAAGAACATTAATTAAAATTTCTTTAACCTGCTGAGTATTAAAGGTTTGGTCCTGAAACTCTAATGCCCTGAATAAGTAGCATTTTTTAAATTACAGTTCTAAAATGACCCTTTTACTTGGTACTTTGCTTCCTTTTCTTTCGATATACCTTCTACTTGCAATCAGATCCATCAGGAGCTGGCAAAAATTTCCATCCATAAAAAATTGGAAAACCATCCTTCTATGCCAGATTTTATATCCATAATCCTCAGAAGGTTAAAACGTTGAAGTGAATATTTACTAATTTACATAATATTTTATTGCATATATGAGACTATAGCTTTAATTAATCTGTATTTAATCAAATAAAACACCCAATAATCAAAGTATAGAGCCCTAAGGACAGACTCCTCTTAAAGGTTCTCAAAGCTCTTTATTCTCATAAGAGAAAAATAAAGTATGAGGAATTATAGAATGATCCTTAGGTTTGAATCTTGTAGGCTTAGGTGTTATAAAGTTCTGATATGCATATTACATTGGAAATAAATTTGAAAAGGCATCATATACAGAGTTAAGTAGAAGACGTTTTATATCTGTTTTATGTATATATATATGCACAGGCTTACAAGATGTCCTTTGACAGGGACTGTCTCAGATTGTTGATATGATCTCTGTATTTGAGTACTTAGTCATTTCATTTCAGTTATTTGGTAAAATTTTAATACATATACAACACTATCGATGAAATAAAAATAGTGCAAAATTAAGTAAAATGACAATTAAAATATCCCTTCTGTTACACTCACTATTGCCAATCTAAATATTTTGCATCTAGATTTAACCACATTTAACGTTATCTAAATGTTTTTCCCCACAATAGCACCACATGTTTTATTGTTTCAACAAGCTACTTTGTCCCACAATTTATCATAGCATGAGTATTTTCTCAAAATTGTTCCAATTTACAAAAAATGGAACAAAACATGTTCAGTTAGAGAACAAAAAAATGGCCATGTTTAAGTAAAGAATTTTATAGTAAGTATATATATATATATATGTATGCATGTACCTGTTTAAACGAATATTTTTAGCTTGTTAAATTTATCATTTATTTTCTGAAGAGGCAGACCAAAATACATTAAATCTTCTTCAATAACATTTTAGGGATATTAAGAAAATGATATTTTTCTGATAATTGGACAAATTGAAAAACAACATGGTAAAGCAGTTGAACTACTGAGAAATCTATTTAGAGTCTATAAATCGAATTTATCATTTACTCACTAGTTTAAGTTGAAAAACTAGTAAATAAATGGTGAATTATTTAAATTAAATGCTGATAAATAAAATACAGAAAAAAATGTTTATTAATAAAAATCCAAAGATTTATTCACTTCTTTCTCAACATTCTTACTCATAACCAATATCAGATTTAAAATTTGAAAATTGTCCTTACGCACATCTTTAATAAAAATGGACAGATGTAAAATGAATGTTCATAAAACAGGTGATATCGTTATCACATTTTAATGATTACAAACAAATTTCCTTAAATTGGCCAACCCATAGTCTGTTGGTAATCGCTTAAATTTGTTTAAAAATCTTAAGAAAAATATCAGTCACAGATGTAAATTTTATCTGATCTTCATACATTACCTTTTTGTGTACCCGGATACTTAATTTAGTCATTCTAAAGGCATTTTTAATAGACCAAAAACATTCATTAAAAGATAAAATGCATTCGTAACTCATTAGAACTATAGGTAACTTATTCCTACTATACAGGATACTATATGGGAGTGGACTGTTATTGAAGGCGGCTCGACGAAAGATTCCATCTGAAGTTTTGACGTCTACGACTACTAGTCCATCTGGACCAGGAAAGGTCTCCTCAATGCGAGCTAGTGTCCACTTCATGGGTGTCTTGTTTTTCCCTTTTTAAAACTAGATTGAGTATTATGATCATAGAATCATAACTGAACCACCTCTTATAGAAAATTAGATGTGGCATTTAGATTCATAGTTAGATGTGTAGGCAGCGCCATTCGTTGATTCGATTAGTGTACATTAGTGAGTACATAAATATTTTTGGTGCGACATGTCGGGAAGCCGGCTAATATTAAAAAATATGGATTCGTAAGCATGGATTAGCATGGTGTGAAGTGTACAAAGACTGCAAAAAGATAGGATAAGTTTTCTATTTTAAAGTGTAATTATGGAAGATCCTGTCACTAAGCTGAAATCAAAACGCAAAGTATTAAGGACCGCAGTGTCCAAGGTACTAAAAATTGGGACAGAATTAAGCAAAGATGACATTAGTATAAATATAATAGAAGAAACTTTAGACATATTAAACGAAAAAGCAAAAAATCTGAGTGATTTAGACACTCAAATAGAATGGGATTTGAATGTCGCAGAGGATGAATTTGAACTTGAACTTTCTTCCACTCTAGAATATGAAGAAAAAATACAACTGTGGCAATTTAGAGAAAGGGAAAAATTGAGGAAATTAAATAAACTCGAAAATTTGTATAAGGAAATTATGAAGATTCCTAATGAAACCACTATAGATTCCAAAATCGAAAGTAATAAATTTTTGAAATGAAATTGAAATGAAAGTAATAAATGATAATGAAATGAATAAATGATAATGAAAGTAATAAATTTGCCTTCCAAAATTGGCTATCTCTAAATTTTTTCATGATTCTAGCAATTGGCAGGAATTTTAAAGTTATTTTGAAGCAGCTATCCATAGCAATGACTCATTATCGAAAGTAAATAAGTTAAGTTACTTAAAGCCATTACTAAGTGGGGCAGCTTAAAATGCCATTTCCGGACTTTCGTTTACAAATGAGAACTACGATTCAGCTGTAGAATTGTTAACTAACATGTTTGGGCAAAAAGATTTGGTAATAAATGCTCACATGAATAAATTATTAAATATTTCCCCTGTTAGAAATGTAAGGGATATAGAAAATCTTAGAAATTTTTATGATCAGTGTGAAACTCAAATTAGTTGCTTAAAGCCAATGAACATGGTATCCGATATTGTTAAAATTTGTGTAATATTGTTAAAATTAATTCCATCAGAGATTACATTAAAATACAGTCGCAGTAGAAACAGTGACCAAACATGGAACATTAACAAATTAATGGAATTTATTCGCAATGAAATTGAAAGCCATAAAAGAGCTATGCAGTTAAATGGCAGTAGAGAAACAAAAACAAAACACCGAGCCGAAATGATTCATAACTGGAGGCATAAATCAAACGACCGTCTCCACTCAACTCAAGATAATGTAAACAGCAAGTGCAGTTAACAGTTTGAAAATGGTTCGCCTGAAACATATGAATATATCGCTCCAGTTGCTAGGAGTTATTGCATATAGTGTAACGAACTTACATGATTATGAACGCTGTGCAATTAAAACCGTGGAGGAGAAAAGAAGTATTTTGAAAGGTCAAGCTCGCTGTTTTTTATGCCTTACACCTCAGCATTTGTAAGGAAATGTAAGGAAAGAAAAATGTGCGAAATATGTAATAAAAAACATAATAGGTCTATTTGTTTCCAACTCGAAACCAAATGAGAGAAAAACAAGGTCGTCTCAACAATTCCATCTAGTAAAGAAGATATTCGGATTAGTCAATTAAAAACCAAAACTTTCCGCAGTGCATTGCTACAAACGTGCACTGTGATGATATGTCCATTTTCTGATAAGGATGATTTAGAACCAGTTCATATTCTATTAGACAATGGATCGAAGAGAAGTTTTATAATTCAGGACATTTCAGAAAAGTGTAAATTACCTGTTATTCGAAAGGAGACTTTGTCCTGCCTTTGGGGTTAACCAGGCAACAGAACAAACTTACAATGTTGTGAAAGTCAAACTCGAAAACAGAAGTGAACCATCTCTAAATATAGAAACTGAAGCTTTAGAAACTAACCAAATATGTGCAACTAATTTACCTTTCCCTGATATCCTAGTTTCCAAAATTAACAAAGAATTAATAGGATTACAATTAGATGATTCTTGCGAATTCAGTGACAAAAACATTGCTGTTATGATCAGAGCAGATTACTATAATGATGTAATAACTGGCAGACTTAAATGTTTTAAAAATAAAGTTATAGTTTCCGAAACAATATTTTGGATGGTGCCTTCAAGGCCGAACTGATTCTATCGGTGAATTGTTAAACGTGGACATTAATGTTGATGACAAATTGGTCTCAATACAGTTAAAGTAGGTTTATGAATTAGAAGCACTGGGAATTGAACAAGGGAAGGAAATTAGTAAAATAAATAATGACATTTTAGAGAATTTTAACAGTACAGTCAAAATTCTTTAATCTGGACGTCCATAATCCGAAATGATGTATAATCCGGACCTCAAAACTACAAACTTTCTACGCATGCGCATATGCATGCGCGTAATACCTTTACGCATGTGCATAATACGTTTACGCATGCACGTATAATGTATAACGGATGGTATAAGCTAAGCTAAAATTATCTAATTATCTATTTCAGTTAATGTTGCAGATTGCGTTGTTAATTAATCTTCTAATTGGATCCGGCTTATTATTTTTTGCAGACTGTTAGAGCAATTTTAGTAAGCTTGAACTTTCGATTATGTCAAAAAGAATTACCGATTCTGAAGCTGCCAAAGGATCTACAAAGCGAAAGCATGTTTCAATGTGAATCAAACAAAAAGTGGAATTACTGCAAAAAATGGATAAAGGCATATCTTTTGTTTCTCTAACCAATCCGAAATCTGTTTATCAATTTCATGCTGCTCTGGGGGGGGACGTCATGGCGCACAATGAACTGGAAGTTGATTTGTCAGCACTATCCTTATCTTCAGGGCAGATGTTTTTTTTTTTTTTTGCTTATAATTCCTTACTAAATGCAGTATTTCATTTCAATGTACTCCGTCTTTG